GCGGGGGGCAGGCAAGCAGGGAATCGCGGGCAACAGCGCCAGAGCCGGCAGCTGCCGCAGGCAACAAACCAGAAACAGCCAGGGCAGGGCCGGGTGGGGATGTCAGCCCGCCAGCATGCCAGCCCCCCGCAGCACCGCCACCGTTCCATGCGTCAGCGCGGCAGGGCACAGCCCTCACCTCGAGGCGGCACAGCCGGTCCACCGCGCCCTCCACCTCCTCCTCCGCCGCCGCCAGCGCCTCTGCCGCCGACTTGGCGGCGCCGATGGCGCCCTGCTTGCCCTCCAGCGCCGCATGCTTGTCAGCCAGGCAGGCGGAGCGGCGCTGGGCGCACCTGCAGGCGGGGCGGGGCGGGCAGGCAGGCAGCGGGCGGCAGCATCACTGAGGCAGGGCAGCGCACACAACAGGGAGGGGCACCGGCTGCTAAAGCACAGGAACAGCACTGGCAGGCCATCGCAGCGCACCCCAGGGACCCTTCTGCGCCCAGCGGCCGGCCCCCCAGGCACTCACCGCTCGTACTCCTCCTGCGCGCCCTGCCGCGCCTCCGCCTGCGCGGCATCCCGGCGCCGAGACGCCGCCTCCACCTCGCCCTGCGCCGCCGCCAGCTCACCCTCCACGCTGCGGGGTCGGGCAGGCAGGCGGGCGGGCGGGTGAGGCGAGGGAGGGTGGCGAGACCCGCAGGCACAGCAGGCACAGCAGGCTGGGGGAAGTGCCATGCCGCAACCCAGAGCGCCCAACCGTGTGCCACGTGGCGGCGCCCATGGGCCCAGCCCCAGCCCCAGCCCCTAGCCCCGGTTCCCGCGCCGCCCTGCATGCGCACCGTGCCAGGCCGCGCTCCGCTGCCTGCTTGGCCTGCAGGGCCGCCTCCATGCGCTCCTGGGCGCCGTCCACACCCCGCTGCCGCTCCGACACCTGCGGCCGGGAGCAGGCGTGGCTGTCGGGGTGTGGCTTGGGAGACGCATCGCATCGCTCCCCCCTGAGCCACACGAACTCCTTGATTAACTAGAAAAAACGGGAGGCCCAACCCAGAGTGCTGTGCCAGCCCCCACAGGGATGCTCCCAGCGCCCCGCCGCGCCGCCCCACCGCCCACCTGCTCCCTGACGGCGGCGTGCTGCCGCTTGAGCGCCTCCGCCTCGCCCGCGGCCTCCCCCATGCGCCGCCTCGCGGCCTGCACCCCCTCGTGCGCTTCCGCCAGCTGCCTCCGCACCGTCAGCACCGCCTCCTCTGCCGCCTCCACCTGGCCGCGGTCGGGCTGGGCGGCGGCGGCGGCGCCGCCCGCGGGCGCGTCGCCCTCGGCGGCGGCCGCCGCGGCCGAGGCGGCGCCTGCTGTGGCATCCAGGGCCGCCAGAAGGTCCTGAACCTCCAGGCTGCTGTGGTCCAGAGCCGCCTCCAGCGCCGCCGCCTGCTCCCGCTGCCGCGCCGAGGAGGGCAGGGACAGGGCGCCGGCGGCGAGCGCCTCGCGGCCTGCACGCAGACCAGCACACAGCAAGCGGCGGGCTGCGGTCAGGGGCTGGCAGGGCGACGCGGCGCTGCGGCCTGGCCGGCAGCATCGCAGCCCTGTCGGCGCCAGGGGCTGGCATCCTTCCATCCCTCCCAGGGTTGCTGGCAGTGTGCATGATCCCTCTGGGTTGCCTGCCCGCCTCACCAACAGCCTCCCCCGCCTCCTCCAGCTCCTGCCCCAGCAGCTCCTCCACCGAGCTGAACAGGCCCTGGGTGCGGTCCAGCCAGGCGGCGATGTTGGGAGGGCCCAGGTCGGCGCCGGCGCGGCCCACCATGCCGCCCGTCACTGCAGCAGGGTCGGCAGGGGCTGGGCGGAGGGTCGACAGGCGGGTCGGGGGTAAGCAGGGCTGCCGGCACGCTCCGCGCTGCACTTGCTGCTCCCGTCGGCGCAAGCACGTGGGCAGTGGAGCGGGCCGGCGTGCAGGCTGCTGCCGGAAGGCGGCGGCAGCGGCGAGAGGCGTGATGCGGGGCGCACCCGAGGCCGGCCCCGCCACGGAGCAGGCGCTGTTGGGGGTGGAGGCCAGGTCGCTGCCGCCATCCAGGTCGCCTGCACAGCAGGCACAGCAGGCACAGCAGGCACAGCAGGCAGGCACGCCACTGATCTCGGCAACAGTGGCCCGCAGCAAAGCCGGGCACCCATGCGTACACGCGCACAGGGCACGCCAGCGCGGTGTGTGCCGGTGTGTGCCGGTGAGTGTGTGCAAGGCCCATGTGTACTGCGCTGTGCTGCCTGCGGTACCACGGGCCGTGCGGTCCCGCCGGCCCACCTGACAGCAGGCGCGCCACGCGGCCCAGCTTGGATCCCAGGAAGGACGCCATGCGCGCGCTGCGGGAGCGAGGCGTGGCGCTGGAGCTGCCTGCGATGCCGCTCAGCCGGCGCCCCGACAGCAGCAGCTGGTGCACGGGCAGGGCGGGCACGGAGCCGTCTGCAGGGCGGGGGGGAGGGCGGGGCAGCGCGGCGTTGGCAGCACCCGGCGCAGCACGCCGGGCTGGCTGCTCGTCAGCGGCTGCAGCACGCAACCCTCCGCAACGGACCCCTCCATGGCCACCCCTCGACACGCCTGGTTTCAGCCCATCCAGCACACCCGGTGCATCCAGCCACCTCCAGCCGCCCCCACGCCCCGCCCACCCACCCGACTCCGCCTGCTGCTCCACCAGCTTGCGCTCGGCTGAGGCCAGCAGGTCCAACGCCAGCACCTTCTCCTCCACAGCACGACGCAGCAGGTCGTCCTGCGGGCGGGGAAGGGGCCAGGGCAGGGCGGGGGGGTGGGGTGGGGGTGAGGAGCACACAGATGAAGGATGCGGTGAACGAGGGAAGGAGGCAGGGAGGGAGGAAAAGGTGAGGCGAGTGGATGCACCCCAGCCTCATCGCATGTGCACAGCCACAGCAGTATGGGAACCCCTCCACACACACCTGCTGCATCCCGCTCTGGATCTCGGTATCCTCCGACGCCTGGATACTCTTGATGGCCGAGTCGGCGGCGATGTACTGCTGGCTGGCCAGGCACAGCTCGGCCTGCGGGCAGCACGCCAGCGGCGGCGTGGCTCAACCAGGCTCAGCCAGGAAGCACCTTTAGGCGCACGGCAAGGACGTGTGCAGAGGTGCGAGCGGGGGGCGGCAGGCATGCATGCGGCAGCGGGCCGGCCACGCCCCCACCCCACCTGCGCCTCCCGCGCCTCCTCCAGCTGCTCCTCCAGCACCGCCTTGTCGCCCTCCAGCCTCTGCGCCAGCATGCCCAGGCTGGACACATCCTGCGGGGCAGAGGACCGTGCAGGGGGTGGGGGGTATGAGATAGGGCCAGGGGGTAGCGGTTTGTGATGAGCACGGGGCGGGGCTGGACGCCAGGGCAGGAAGCTGGGCAGGCGCCGAGCAAGGCGCGCCGCGGACGCAGGCAGGCAGGGGCAGACACGGGCCGCCGCCCCGGCTCGCCTGCTCCAGCTCCGCCACCCGCCGCTCCAGCTGCGCCTTGTGGGCCCGCGTCTCGATCAGAGCCTGCGTCACCTGGTCCACCTGTGTTGTGTGTGTGTGTGTGGGGGGGGAGGCAGGCGCGGGCAGGCGTGAGTTTAGCCAGCTGGGGCGCTGTGCCGGGGGTCGGCGCGGAGCAGGGCAGGACCCCTGCCCCCAGGCGCCGCCGTGTGTATGCCGCCGCTACGCTGCTGCTCTCCCGCCACCCACCTGCGCCTCCACGTTGCTGTTCTCCCGCTCCAGCCCGCCCAGGCACTCGCCCAGCTCCGCCAGCTCAGCCTCCTTGGCCGCCAGCTCAGCGCGCAGCTCGTCCACCTGGCGCACGCACATGTGCAGGGGGGGAGGGCCGGCATTGAGGCGCACGTGTGTGCACGCTCCAGCCAAGCTGCCTGCACCTGCCTCCAGCAGCCACCACCAGCCCAGACACCCCCCCAAAGACCCCCACCCTGCTGCTCTACCCCCGCCAAGCGCCGCCGCCGCCGCACCTGGCGCTGCAGCTCATCCCGCTCGCCCCGCACCGCCTCCAGCTCCGCCCCCAGCCGCTGCCGCTGCTGCAGGGCGCCCGCCTCGGCGGCCACCAGCGCCTGCCGCGCGCCGTCCAGCTCCGACTGCAGGCCCGCGGCCGCCGCCCGCGCCGCGCCCTCCCCCGCCGACGCGCCGGCAAAGGCCTGCTTGGCATCTGCCAGCCTCTCCTTGAGGAGCTCGTTCTCAGTCAACATCTCAGACACCTGCAGGAGGGCGGGGCGGGGCGGCATGCCAGGCCCAGGGCAGGCAGGCAGGCAGGCGACGGGCTCGGCGGGCGGCCAAGGGGGCAAGAGCAGGCGGCGACCGAGCCAGCACAGCAGCTGGCCGAGGCATTTGGGGAGAAGCGAGGACCAGGCAGGTATAGCCCGTGCCCACGCTGCCTGCAGCTGCCCACCTTGTCCTGCCCCCAGGCCTGCTCCTTGCGGGCCGCCTCCTCGGCAGCGCCCGCCTCGGCCGCCGCCGCCTCAGCCCTGGCGGCCGCCGAGCTCAGCGCCGCAAAGCGCTGCTGCAGCAGATCCAGCCAGGCCGCCGGCGTGTCGGCCTTGCCGGCCGGCAGCACCGCGGGCGCGACCATGCCCAGCGCGGCTGCAGCGCCGCCTGCCGCCGCCGCCGCCGCCGCCGCCGCGGGCTGCTGGTTGCTGCAGCGTGCGGCCAGGGGCGCGCGCGCCGCGGGGGACGCGCCGCCCTGCTTGCCGGGCAGCTCGGCGGTGGCCTGTGCCAGCTGCGCGGCCGCCGCCTCCCACTGCTGCTTCTCCTGCACCTCCCGCCGCGCTGCCTCCGCCGCCGGAGCGGCTCTCTTGAACTCGGCCACCCGAGCCTCGTTGGCATCTTGCGCCTGCTCCAGCTGCCGCTGCAGCCGAGCAATCTGCTTGGAGCCAAAGCCGGGGGCGGTGGCCGCCGCAGCCGCCGCCCGCCGCCACACCACCCACGCCGTGAACGCAACGCAGGCCAGCAAGGTGGCGGCGGTGGCGCCGGCCGCAGCCGCCACCAGGCGTGGCTGCTCCAGCCACAGCTGCTCGGCGGAGCAGGTCTGCAGCTCGCCGCCGCGGCCGGCTGCCAGCGAGGGTTCGGCAGTAGAGGCGGCGGCGGCGGCAACCCGGGCCTCGGCCGCCCTGCGCGTCGCGGTGGCGGCGTCCCTGGCGGCATCTGCCGCCGCCTGCTGCGCACGCTGCTCGCCCTCCCAGGCGGCCTGCAGCTCCGCACGCAGGGCCGCATCCTGCTCGGCTGCCAGCGCCGCCGCCGCGCCCGCCTGCGCTTCCGCCAGCTGCAGCTGCTGCTGCAGCTCACGCACCTCGGCCTTCAGAGCCGCATCCTGCTCGGCTGCCAGCGCCGCCGCAGCGCCCGCCTGCGCCTCTGCCAGCTGCAGCTGCTGCTGCAGCTCCTTGATGTCAGCCTTCAGGGCCGCCTCTGCCTTCTGCCAGCCAGCCTGGGCGGCTGCAAGCTCCTCGCTCTGGGTGCCCGCCTGGCGCGCCGCCGTTGCCTGCGCCGCCGTCGCACCCTGTGCAGCCTTCTCAGCCTGCCCCTTGGCGGCCTGGGCTGCCGCCATGGCAGCCTCCGCCTGCTCCTCTGCCTCGTGCCTGGCAGCCACCGCCGCCTCGGCCTGCGCCTGCAGCGCCGCCTCACGCGCCGCCGCCGCCGCCGCCGCCTCGGCTGCTGCCGTCGCCGCCTCCTGGCTGGCGGCGTGGGCGGCCTGCAGCTCCTCCGACAGAGCGGCCTCAAAGTCGGCCGCTGCGGCCGCAGCCTGCGTGGCCGCGGCGGCCGTCTCCTCCGCCTCACGCCGCGCCCTGAGCGCCGCCTCCAGCTCCTGCTGCAGCAGCCCCACCTGCGCCTCGTACTGCCCCATCTGCAGGCGCGCCTGGTACGCCTCCTGCTGCGCCGCCTGCAGCAGCGCCGCCAGCTCAGCCACCTCTGGCGCCAGCTCGCCGCCGTAGTCGGCCGCAGTGGCCGCCGTCTGCGCCTCGCCCGCCACCTCGCCTGCCTCGATGCCGACCCCTTCAGGCCCGCTCCACCACGCCTCCTGGTCGGCGGCCTCACCCAGCTGTGCCTCCGTCAGATCAAAGCTCTCCTGCTGCCGCAGCTCCGCGGCAGCGCCAGCCCCGTACGCCTCCTGCCCTGGCAGCGAGCCGACGCCCTGGCCTCCGGCGGTCTGCACGGCTGCTGGCTCGGGGCGCGTGGCGCGCCACACACCCACACTGCCAACCACCATCAGCAGCACCAGCACCAGAGCGGAGGTCAGCGGCATGCCGGCCGCCGCCGTCCGCCGCTGCTCCGCCCTGCTGCGCTGCCAGGCTTTGTACTCAGCGCTGCCTTGCAGGCTGCAGGGCAGCGACAGGCGAGGGTGGAGGGCGGAGAAGGGACGGCAAGCGTCAGGCAGGGAGGCTTGGGAAGGGAGGAAGGGCCGCCCCTGGTTCTGCTGGGTGTGCTTGCCACATGCCCCTGTTGCACAATGTCCCAGCCCCCACACACAGGTTGGCTGCCCGAAATGAACGGGTGAGGTCCCCTGGCACTGCTGCCGCCTCTGCAGGCACAGGGCGGTAGCACCCACCTGGCCAGCACGGCGGTGGTACAGGCCTGGCGCCGCTCTTCATACTCCTCTACGCTCAGCTTGCAGCCTGACACAAGGCCGGGCTTGAAGTCCATCACGACGGCCATGGCACCGCAGCGTGCTGCTCGCACAGGGTGCCTGCAGCAGCGGAAGGCGCACGGTCAGTGGCGTCGGGTGGCGGCGGGCGACTTTGAAAATTGACGCTCGCGGTAGAGTGGCTGGCAGGCTGCTGCGCTTGCCCCCTGGGCACAAGCATTCAAATATGGGCCCATGCCTACAGGCCGAGGTGTGTGGTGCCGAGGAGGTGAAAGGCATTGTTGCGGGGGCTCGCGCACTGCCGAGCGGCCGCCTAACCTGCACGCCAGCTCCTGCCTTGTCAATCAGTGCCTGGTTGGGTCCTCGATGGCCCCCTGAGCCGCCTGGATGACTGCGGAAGCGAGCCGCTCAATGAGCGCCCTCTTCAAGCGCACACGGCTAGGCGGCAGGGTCCAAACCCCGCTGTGCAGGACAAGTGCACGGCGCCAGTAGCCGGATGCCAATAGTGCCCAATGCCAGGCATGCCTGTGCGCCCAGATTGAATGCCGGCGCCGGTTGGAAAGCGGCGGGTGGCGCCGGTGACGGCGCGGCTGCTCGTACGGCTGCCGCTTTGGATCAGCAACAAGCATGGATTACATAAATACTACAGTCAATGCATATCCAAAGAACTGACAATTGAATGAGTGAAGAGGATGGAGGAAACGTGCGCCACCGCCACGAATCGGCGACGAGCGGTCACACCTTGAAAAGGTACAGCTTGGGAAGGGGACGCGAGCGCCGCGCGTGTGTACTGAGTTGCTGAATCGCTGGGCGCTGGAAGGGTGGTATCAGGAAATAAATGCAGGCTGCTCTCATGCTCATACTGGGCCCCAACCGCTGCTCATCCCAAGCTGCCGAGGTCACACAACAGAGTAGCCGCCCTCGGCGGGGGGGGCGGGGGCCACGCCCTGCGCCGCCGCCACGTGTCCCGCAACCCCGGTGTCCTTGTCAGCCTCCCACAGCGTGTAGAGCGCCATGCTGCCCACCACAAAGAACAGCAGGCGCTGGATGAGCATCTGCGGCGGGGAGCGCGGGCAGGCAGGCAGGGTGGGCGGCCGGGCACAGGGCCGGGCGGGTGCGGCATATGGCGGCGGCGAGGATGCACTGTCACACCGCTGAAGTATGTAACGTGGAAAGGAGGCAGGTGGAAAGGAGGCAGGTGGAAAGGAGGGGGCGCTCAGGGCACTCACCAGGACGTTCAGCAGGTAGTCCCACCACGAGTAGCCCAGGTTAATGGTCAGGAGGTAGATGGTGAGGCCGATGGTGGCCAGCACGCTGAGCACGGTGACCAGCAGCACGGCCTGCGGCAGCGCCGTGCCGCGCCCCGCCGCCAGCGCGCGGTTGGCCAGCAGCACGGCGGCCACGCCCAGCACGCCGGCGCCCATGTAGAGCGCGTACTTGACCTGCCGGCGGCGAGCGGCGGGACGGCGGCAGGGGGGCAGGGAGCCGAGGGCGGGGAGCAAGGCCGGCAGGGTTGGGGCGGTGCACAGACAGGTGCAGGGCGTGGGTGGCCAAGCCGGCCTGCAGCCCACTCCCGCCGCTTCTGCTTGCACGCGCCAGCGCCGCCGAAAGCATGCCGCCCCACCCCGCCCCGCCCCAGCACCCACCACATAGTCCACCCACACCCCGGCCTCCTCCATCTCCGCCTTGGGCGCCGGGTAGTCGCCGCCCAGCGTGAGGCCCAGGAAGATGGCCTGCGGCAGGTAGGGGCAGGGCGGCTGTGTGCGTTGGCGCGGGTGGACGCAGCAGGCCCACCAGAGGGCAGCAGCAGGGAACAAACCACCGACTGAGCGGCAGGCAGGCGGGCAGGCAGGCGGGCGGGCGGGCGGGCGGGCGGGCGGGCGGCTCACCCCTACGATGACCAGGGAGTAGGCGAGGCCTGCAGCCGCAAGGGGTGCAGGAGGGGCAGGCAGGCGAGGTGGGTCGGCATGCGGCGTGGCAGGGTGCATGCAGGGCAGCTGCTGCGCCGCTGGCCGCAGCCAGAACCCTCGCCGGGGCGCGAGCTGCGCCGCTCAGCCTCACCGTGCGTGAGGTTGAGGGAGCGGGCCCGCCGCACGTTGGCGTCCCGGGTCATGGCAAAGGCGGCCTTGAACTTGCCGCCCCTGCCCCGCTTCTTGCCGTCGCTCGAGCCCGAGCTGGCTGAGTCGGCGCGGCACGGGGCCGGTGCGGCCCCGGCGGCTGTCGGCGCCGCAGTCGGCGGGGTACCATACTGTGGCGCAGCCCCGGTGCTGCATGGACATGGATGCACAGCAGGGGGCGCATGAGCACTGGTGTGGCCCGTGAGCGTGGTTGTGATAGGGTGCAAAGCAGCAGCCTCTCAACCCGCAATGTTCGCCACCCGCTCGCCTGGCAACGGGAGGCTCAGGCTTGGGCTTCACTGCATCCAACGCGGTGTTCTTGACCTCCTTTATCAAGCTTCTGAGGGGGCCCATCGCGGTCGCAACGGGAGTGTGTGGACGGGGCTCGTGGCGCGGGCTCTGCAGCAGGGGTGGGGGGCCCACAATCGAATGGTGCAGGCCCAGGCGACGCAATGGCACAAATGAATCCGGAATCCCACCAGCAGGGCAGGCTACCTCCCGGGGCACCCCGGCGACCTACCTGTTATGGTTATGGTTTGTGCAGCAGTGGTGCGGCAGGGCAAGGGCGCTGTGAGAACCGTGCCACACAAGTGTGTGCCGTGCCAAGTTGGCACCGAATTCCGGACAAGTGCTGCAGGGGCGGCCAATCCATTGTAACGAGCTTGTGGCTTATTTGCAGCACAACAGCAGGGAGTGAGGGGGGCCTGGTAGCACACGGGAAGTTTCTGGCGGGCCTGATCAGCGCCATGCCCTGGGAACTGCTCACATGGCTGTTGGCATTCATCCTGCAGGTCAGTGGGTGGGCGCGCACCGCCGCTTCCGCCGCCCAGCGGGTCGGGCTGCGCTGCCACTGCTGCCGCCGCCAGTCCGCCGCCAGCCACTGCCACACCGGGAGTTGCACAAACTTGCCTGCCTTATGCCATGCTTGGTCGGCCTCCATTCTTGTGCAAGTTGCGCTGCCTTTGCGCACTCGCTGCTTGCACCGGCTGCCCCAGCTTGAACGGCTGCCTCACCCGCCACCACGTGCCGCCTCCCCTGCTCCCCGCGCCGCCAGTCGGCGCTGCTGGGCTGCTGCATGTACCAGCTGATCCAGCTGAGCGACCTGGAGTGCGACTTCATCAACCCCCATGACGCCTCCCGCAACATCAACTCTGTGGTGGTGAGCTCCTGAGTGGGGGGAGGTGGAAAGCGTGTGGTGCCGTGGCAAGCGGGCAGCGGTGCATGCAGCTGCCCACCAGGCAGCCCGGCCCAGCAGATTGAGCAGCCTGGGCGTCGTGCTGCGCTGCTTCTCGGCAGAAGGGCCTCGCGGCAGCCCGGCCGGCCTGCTTGCGAAGCAGCGGCGCCGCCCACTTCCGCCTGCCCATCCACGCCGCCGCTGCCCCACCCCCCTTGCCGCCCCGCCCCGAGCAGCTGCCTGAGTACCTGTGCCAAGCAGCGCTGACGATCTTCATGCTGCTGTCGGGCCACTGGCTGTACGGCGGCATCCACCTGCTGCTGCTGGCCTATCACGTGCGGCAGGTGAGCCAGCAGCGGCAGCACCCGCCGATTGGCAGTGGCAGCTGCCACGGCGCGCGGCCATGGGCAGCCTCGCCGCCACCCCTCTTCCTTGCTGCTGTTGCTGCCCCGCTTGCCGCTGCCAGCAATGGCCGCTGCGCTGCCGTGCCTCTAGCTGGCGCCGCTAGCCGCCCTGCCCTCGGGTTCCCGGCTTCTGGGTGCCACCTCGGGTTCCCGGCTGCCGCTGCTGGCCACGCACCTGCGCCACCTCCTTGCCCCTGCGCCACCTGGCGCAGTACCTGCGGCGCGGCCACCTGGCTGACGTCACCGAGATCTTCCGCCAGGTGGCGCCCCGCAAGCGGCGCGAGATGTTCAAGCTCGCCTTCTACCTCCTCACCTTTGTGCTGGCCATCTACAAGTGAGCCCCATCCCCAGGGCAGGGGGCGGCGGCGGGTGTGGTGGCAGGGGAGGCGGGCACCGCAGGACAGCGGCAGCATGGGAGGGCATACCGCCGAGCAAAATGTCGGCGAATAGTACAGCGGCAGCATGGGAGGGCGCAGCGGGAGGGGCGCGGGGTGCCCTCAAGCTGGCGATGGCGCTGCCAGCCTTGCTGTGCTGCCAAGCGGGGCAGCGTGCAGGTGTGTTGGAGTGCAGGCTGGGTTGGCAGCCCAGGCTGGGCGCCTGCAGCCGGCCCATGCAACGCACTGCCTTCCTGCCTGCCCTTGTGGGCTGCCCACAGGATGATCCACGTCATCGTGCTCACATTCCTGACGCCCGAGGGGCGCAAGGCGGCGGCCAAGGTGCTGCGCGACGCGGCGGCATCCATGCACAGGCGGTTATGATGCGGCAGCGAGGCAGCCCAGATACACGCTGCCTGGGCAGACGGCAGCCGAAGCTGGCACCCTAGATTGCGCTGCCCTGTTGCCGCTGGTTCCCGTTCGCTCTGCTCCCGTCTGCTCTGCTCTGCTCTGCTCTGCTGCCTGCTTCCGATTTTCACGTGCCGCCAGGTTGCAACTGGTGCTGTAAAGACGTGCAATCTGCCGCTCGGGATGTGGCGCAGGCGAATGCGAGGGCGCAGGGTGCAATCTTATGGGATTGGGTGCTTGATCAGAGCAAAAAATGGGGGGCCGGCAGAGGGAGGAGCACGAGCAGGGCGGCAGCAAGGAGAGTGGGACATGAAATGGGGCGTGCATACGTCGAGTGTCAGAGGAGGAGGCGGAGGCTGGCGGCCGTCGGCTCGTCAAGTCATTCATTCGTCCATCGGCAAAGGCAGGGGCAGCGGGGAAATCTTGAAGGCACATCATGCTGTTGGCTGGCCGGCTGTGCCCGTCGAACGAGGTGGGGCGCGCTTCGCCGCTGCAGCAACTCAGAAGATGGACCCCCCTCCCCGCTTCTTGCCCAGCATCAGGTCCTTGGCCTCGTTGACCTTGGCTGCGATGAAGGAGGAGCCGCCGGCGTCGGGGTGGTTTGCAATCATGATGCGGCGGTGCGCCTCCTTGACCTTCTCCTCGGGGGCGCTCTCCCGCACCCCCAGGATCAGCGCCGCCTCCCGCCGGTTCATCTCGGCCTGGAAGCCGCCCTTGTAGAAGGCGCGCATGCGGGGGCCTGCCGTCTTCCAGGCGTTGAAGGCCTGCAGCGCGGCTCGGGCGCCGTAGGCCGCCGCGCCCACTGCCAGGCCCGCCACCAGCGGCGTGGTCTGCGTGGCAGGGGACACCGGCGCAGCGGTCAGGGCGTGAGCAGCAGGCCGCCTCGCAAGCAGGTGGAGCAGAGGGAGCCAAGAGCACATGTCCCAAACTCACCATGCTGATGGCTGCGGCTTGGGAGGCTGCTGCTGTAAGGCCACTACGCTGCTGGTGTATGCTGTTGCCTGCTGCAGGAGAGCTGGCCAGATGGCAAGGTTGGGGGGAGAAGCTAGAGGGCCCGTGCGGCGCGAGGTGAAGCAACGGGAGACGACACCAAGGTCAGGGGAGTTTAATAAGCCAGTTTCGATGCCTTCCAGAGGGAATCACAGCACGCAGCAGGCAGCTGGAAATTTGCCTCAAAGGGGCCCTCCCGCTCCAGAAACTCGCCGCCATCTGCCTCCCTGTAGCTCCTACAACCATCCGGGCCAACACCAGCGGGCGCAGCAGTTGGGTCCAGCGCGTGGCCGAAGTGTTCTCGTGATTGAGTTGCGCTGTGGCGGCGGCATGGCGACCAACCTCCCCAAGAAAGTGGAGGAGGGTGAGCATTGGGCTGCTGGCCCTGCCTGGCTGCCCGGCACTCTGCCGTTACCGCCTTCACCGCCCGCCGCGAACTGTCGATGCGAGTCTGGCCTTCACGCCTCCTGAGCATCCCCTCCCCTTCCGTTCCTGCAGCGCTGTTCTACCGGCTGAAACAGAAGGGCTTCCAGGAGTGCAGGCCATATGCAGACGCATATGCGCAGTGCTGCTCAGGGCGCGTGCTGTCAGTGGTGTGGACTTGCCGCAAAGAATTGAAGGCGCTCTCTGATTGCATGAGCACGCAGTGAGTGCAGCCAATGGCAGGATGCGGCTCAATGATGTTGCTTTATGTTGAACAGTTGCAGCAGAACAGCACATGGTGCCGTGGCAGTCCAGGCTGTCGCCCTGTTGTTGGATTGTCCCATGCCCGCCTATCACCTGCCCCGCTGCCTTCCATCCCAGCCACCATGCCTATCAGGCATGCTAAGTAGCCGACCCCCCTCCATTTTTGCCCGCTGCTGCAGCACAAGCCGGCTAGAAGAGTTGAAGCAGCGGTACCTGGCGGCAGGGTCACCGTCTAATCCAGACTGGGACAAGCTCTTGGAGGGACTGTAACGAACAAATCGAGCCCGCCAGCCAGTGTAGATTATGTCCTCTCCAAATTGTACGCCTTAATCCTGCTAATCTTTGGAGTCTTCACAGTTTTGAATGCAATGCTTTGTCCCTCTCCATGCCCCCTATCTGCTGTGGCTGCTGCAACTCGGTGCCAATTGATGCATGAAGCAATCTGTGTTACACGCCAGCGGGCTCGCGGGATCACTTCCAAGAGACGAATGCCGAGGTCAGTAATGAATGTTGAATGAATCGGTCAGCGAATAATCAGGGCATGTATTGCTTGATCACCGCAACTGTATCGGTTAGCAAGGGCAATCGAAGGTAGGAGTGGGGCAAAAGCTATTGATCTACAGGGGTACGTGCTGCTACTAATGCGTGCAAACACCACGGCACAGAAATGTCAGCGTTGAAGGTGATGCGGTTTCCCGAAAAACAAGCACGCGGGTGGCGGAGCGCTGGGTTTGCTGGGGCAATGCACCCTCTGGGCACAGGAGGCCAAGGGGCTAGGCCCGTCCAAATAGGTCAGTAGGTGCAAGTCGCAGTCAGAAAGAGTGTTGGTGAGATTGTCGAAAGTGTTTCACAGAGTCTGCCTACCCTATGCTGCATGTCAGTCGATTTTCCTGGAAGCTACAGATGGCTGCCGTGCCGTCGGGCTGCAGCTTTGGCAAGCCGTAGCCCACCAAACGCCCGCAGCGTCGCAAATCAGCCCGAGGCAGGCGCCGAGGTGGGGGTGCTGCCTTTGCGGCGATGCCGCGGCTTGGCTGTCGACCTGGTGGCGGGCGCCTCAGGCGGTGTCTGGCCGTCCTCCTCCCCCTCCAGCTTCACCCAGCTGCCTGCGGCATCATACCCTGCTGCCGCCTGCAAACAGGGCCGCACGCCAAGCGCCAGCGTGAGCTTGCCCGCAGCTGGGATGCACACTTTCCAGAAGCCCTTGCAATCTGGACACCGACAGAATATGGCGTGCTTACCGCTTCTGCTTCTCCTCCTGCTGCTGCCTTCCCATTGCCTGCAGCATGGCGCATGCCGGAGTGCTTGGCTTGAGAGCGCAGAGCAGAGTCAAAAGAGCAATGCTGCAGAGTGCAATCAATCAGCTTGCCCCACTTGTCACAGCGGGAGCAGGCGCACCAGGCAGCCCGACAAGCGGCTTTTTCAGCGCTGGCATTGCCTCGTCCGTTGGCAATGGCAGCGGATGCTTGCGTGGCCTGCCCCTCTTTTTGGACACAGGCGGCGCAGCTGCTCCTGCTGCTACAGCCGCCGTTGCCGCCCACGCTGCGCCGCTGTCTTCTGGCTGCTGCTGCAGCGGCGGCAGCCCTTCCAGGCCTGCTGCTACGGTGGGATGCACCGGTGGGAGGGGGTGCTTGCGGGGTCTGCCTGGGCGACGCTTCACAACAACCTCTGGCTCCCCACGCTGCATGGCGGCTGCAGCGTTTGTGGCGCTGTGGGCCAATCCAATTGAACGCACCCTGGGTTTGTCTGGCAGCCTGGATCCGCGGTGGGGCATGCACAGCCTGAGAACCGCGTGGATGCTTGACTGGCTCCCCATGCTGGCTGGCACCGACCCGGAGCCATCAGGCGGTCACAGGCCAATTGGGCGATCGCTCATCGCCGATTGAATCCAGCGATGGCCGAAGTAGAGGCCTGCCTGAGGGCCGCTGCCGCCTGGGCGGTCGCGGCGGCCACTCAAATATCGCCCGTGCTGATCAGGGCGGTGCTGGGCGCTGTGCTGACGGCCTGGCTGATCGTCAAGCTGCTGGGCCAGCGGGTGCCGTCGATCGAGGTGGAGCCCATCTCTGGTGCGTCGCCTGCGGCCGTTCAGCTGCAGTCACGGAGCAGGGAGACAATGTGGATTGTCAGATGCAAGGGGGAGGACTCGATATCCCCATCATCACCACCTCTCCAGCCGCCGCCGCCGCTTGCCGCCACAACCGCTGAGCGGCATTGGCTGTGTCCAGTATACCCTGTCCAGTTGTCTGCCTTCTGGCTGGCCGTCCTTATTCCATCCCCACACCCGCAAACCCTATCGCTGTTGCTGCTGCGACGGCCGGTGTCGCTATGTGCAGGCGAGGCGTCGCCCAGCAGCCCGCGGCGCAGCCCCCGCAAGCCCTCCAAGTCGATCATCCCCTGCCACGACCCGGGCACCCAAGAGCTGCTAGGCTATGTGCCGGCCATGGGCGCCGCCCAGGTGCGGCGCGAGATGACACATGCGCAGAGCACGCCTGCCCCGCCCTTGTGCACGGCCTGTCAATGCCCAGAGGAGAGCCGCCGGGGGGCTGCTGCCGCCGCCTGGCTGAGCGGCCCGGCCCAGCCTCGGCTGCCGCCGTTGCCTGGCAGGTGCGCGAGCTGGCGGCGCGGGCCAAGGAGGCGGGCAAGGAGTGGCGGGGCAGCAGCTTTGCGCAGCGCCGCCTGCTGCTCAAGATCCTGCTCAAGTTCATCGTGGAGAACCAGGAGGAGATCTGCAGGTACCGCTGTTGCCGCATGGCACTGCTGATACTGCCAGGCCAGCCCCGCGTCGCCTGCGAGCTGGACTGGACGGCGCTCCTGCAGCCTTGGCGCCCTTGAGCTGGCGCACAGGAGCGCCGCGTGCCCGCCCGCCCCTCTCGAGCCTCACGCCTCAGCCGCCCACCCCACACACACCTGCACACACCAGCCAACCAGCCCCGCCGCCAGCCCGCGCAGCTCGCCCGCCTGCCCCTCCACCCGCCCCCTGGCCCCCCGCCCCCCC